TAGTCAATTTTCAAATCAGTCACCAATATTTATCAATTCACGAATAGTAAATCAATAATCAACTTTTACTGATTCAATAGTCCACTCGATATTCGTTTTTAGGACACTCAAAACTTTTGATTCAAATACGCTTCCGGGAACGTCATGGAGCAAATGATGAAATTTTTCTGCTCTACTTTAAGAAGAAGATTTTCAAATTGTTTTTTAAGTAGTAGGGGATAGGAAAAATGTATAAAATGCATTTTCATTGGTTGAAGAAATAACAAAAAAATGTGCTGAAAAATTTTCTAAGTACAGTCAAGGCTATTCATAGTAACGTAAAATTAAGAAACTAAGGAACGAAATGAAGAAAAAATGTCTGCGGAATAAACTTAATCTTTGGAAGACGCATGGCAATTTCGCTTCATTAAATATATTACATGTAATGTTCATATAGAAAAACGCTTCTAGACATAGGCCAGTCACTTTACGGCCTACTATAAACATCCGACCGCCCGGACGGACACTGTCTATGTTCAAAAAACACAATTTTTTGTGTCAAGTTTAACAATAAATAGAAGCAGTTTTCCCAGGTCGTAAATTGGCATACGGTTGCTTTATGCAATATTGAAAATAAAAAATAGTCTAATTTTAGTATTGTTCTAACAAATATATAATTTTTTGATTTTTTAAGTAACGTTTGAATTGCCCATATACCGACCATTAGTCGTTATAAGGAAAAATCATGATTTTAATGATGCCTATTTCCGACCACAATATTTTATCAATTTTCAACTAAAAACATTATCAGTTTCGAATATTGAATTCTTTCTCAGTGACTTAATAGTAAATGAACTAAAAATATTCATAACATCAAGTATTAATAAATTATGTATGAAATTATCGCATTTTCTTTTCGAGGTCTATTTTAAGAATTTCGACGATTGAATCTGTAGAAATTCGCTGTTGTCAACTTGAGTTTTTTTTTTTAAATATAAAAAAAATAATTATCAGTATTTTTAGGGCAGGAAATAATAATTATATAATTAATATACGTATTTTATATAGAAACATATGTCTACAGACATTTTCTAGTTAGATATTTACGAATAAATTTAATGGTCGGCTTTAGGCACTAGGTCGGCAATAGGACACTGTACCTTACGATCATCATTGAATTGTGTTTTAAATCATTTTTCCATGAGAGAAAACTGATAAACAGTTAAAACATGCGAAAAAAATGGCTGATAAAATGTTTTCCGACACTAAGAAATTGCCAGGTTTTACGTAAACTGAAGCAGCTAATATCAAATCGATACCGTCAACTAAGGATGAACCACGAATAATTGATAAAGAAAAAATTGATCAAATATCTTTTTCGAACAATGTACGTTATCGAAGAACGTGAGAGATAATTCGAGTGTTCATTTTCTATACAGTATAATAAAATTCGGAAAATGGAGAAACGATGGAATATCAAAAAAAAAATTTTGCTTTTGAAAGCTATTTTTTCTATTTAAGGGATGAAAAAAATTTTCTCATTGCATATCTTTAAAGTCGGACCATCGGGAACACATTATTTATGCATTTCAACTGTAATTTTTTTTTAATTTTTTGTAGCCCATTCGGAAGATCAACGTTCAAATAACAAGGAATGTCGCTTTTTCAAATCATATTGAATTTTTTTCACCATGTTACACAAGGTTGAAAACCAATGTAAAAATTAGAACATTTGGGTATTAGAGGATTGATGTTACATTATGTAATTAGTGTTCGCACAATTATACTTACATTAAAGTCAGATAATGAAAAAAAAAAAATTTTGTTATTAGGGGAATGGAGTACTGTTCATTCTTTTGACTCCATAGTTTTCTAAAATAACAGCAATGATTGCAATGTAATTACCTGCGTCAATATCTTGAAAAATATAGGCATCCATTTTGTTGTCATTTCCCTGAGAACAATTGTGACCGTCCACAGGTTCATCTATGTCATGACCATCAAGGCGATTTCACCAAAGATGTTGCTAAAAAGATTTTTATTTTGAAAAAGTTCCTCCACATCCAGCATGTTAGCACTTAACTCTAAATCGAAGATCTTATCAATGATATCGAATTTTATGTCGGATTAAATCATCATTTGATGAACATTTTACAGATTACATAGGGCAGTTGATAATGTCTTCTATCATGTCTTTTCAAACATTTCTATCAAAATATTTGATTTTACATAAGTACTTCTTCAAAACATGCTCTTGCAACAATAAAAGTTCTAGGTACGCCTCTATGAATCATCTGACAATGATAAGACTATTGAAAATTGATATTAGTTTTTCAAGTGGCTGCCAGGTTTATGGAAGTGGACCAAGTAAACTTTGCACTTATGTCGAAGGTATCATAGTTAACACGGGGGAAACAAAAGAGTAGCCTGTTAAAATCATTTGTCACAGTGTGAATAAGAGTAAGTGTTAGTGAGTGTTATGTACGTATATACGAATATGTCAACAAAAATGGCCACCGTGGCAAAGACGTTACTTAGTTCGTTTCCATTTCAATCGATGGACTATCTTTCATTTGGCTGAGGAATTTATACGATTTGAAGGTGTTTAAGTGTTTGTGATTTAAAAAGATAAGAAAAAAACAATATTTTTCATTATTGGATAATGCTGCAAAGTTTTAAAATTTGTTGCTGGCGTAAAAGTAGATGCAAATTGTATTCGCAAATGCTCGATTGAAGATTGTGAGAAAGACATAGTGTTAGAAACAATGACGAACGAAAAGTCTATCACCTTGCAAAAAAAATGTCTTTATTTTAATAATTTGATGTGTGATATAGACGATGATGATAAAATTCAGGATAAAGAAGAAGTTCAAGTAATTTTTATCAATTTAAATACAATCATGCAAAGTCATATTATAAAAAATAACAAAGTTGCAGTAATTTTTGATGTTCCTGTGTTGTTGGCAGAACATTATTCAATACCGATATCAGACAGAAACGATTAAGTAATTCCGATTAAGAATAATTTTAAGTAAGTGAAATAAATGACGAGCTATCCACCAGTGATGTTGCCGTTAGTGGATGAATAAAGAAAAACATACCTGTACTGAAAACAATAAAATCAGTGTGCTATCTATCAAACCTCCCAGCAGTTCCACCCCACTTACAGATAATTTTAGAAAATGTTGGAATTTTCGTTGGTGCGAAATCCTTTATCTTTTTTTGTCAAATCATTTATAAAATATTACTGATCGCAAACCATCAAAAAACAATTACCAAAACAACGCTCGTACCATTGTTAATACTTTTCCCGACTTAAAAAAAGGCTGCAAAGGATATATTAGTACAATTAAAGTAGATGAAATTGTAAAACTATTTTACCTTATGTTATATTCTGATGCTTCAAAAAAATTATTTGCTACATGGAGAGAATTTTTTAACTAAATGTAAATGCAAAAATGACAAGCCCACGTTTCGAAATTTAGAAGTAAAAATATTTCTGTTCAACAGTGAATTTTGGGTTGTCGTAAGTAATTCTTTCACTAAGACACATTTTAAGTCACAAGTTTACTTACAAGAACTCAAAATTTACTATCGAACAGAAATATTTTTACTTATAGATTTCGAAACGTGGACTTGTCACTTTTTGCACTTAGGTTCAGTGAAAAAATTTTCTCCGTGTACACAGTGAATTTTTGAAGGTCAACTAGGTGCTTGTATATGAAATCGTCGAGTTAACTTAGAGAAGAAAGCTGAGCCGTTATTAAGGACAATGGCTCAAAATGTGTAAATAAAGATGATTTTTTCAAGACAAGATTGTCGAATAATTTGAAACATTTCTATTTTTAGTTTTCAGGTAACTCAAAAAGAAACGCGTGTAAGATGTTTGAAATTCATGCACATTACGTGTATTGAAACTACACATTTCTTGTGTGTTGATTTTTTAAACACTTGTGAATGTTTAAAATGTGTCTACGAGGGTTTAGACACTTAAGACACTGAAGTCTCTGGGAACAAATACATGGATTTACAGTATGATTGTTCACAAATAACAAAAAATAGACTTTCTCAAATAATGAGGAAATATTATATATTAAATAGACATATTTATCGGCTCTTGATGATGGTAATGACACTTCACTAATATCAAATTGTTTAATACATTTACCATGAATGTAGATTTAGTCTAAATTTTGATAGGATGTAAAGACTCACAAGTTTCTACGCTCAAACTGAGCCAGGTCTAATAAAATCTGTTCCCAAAAAAAAAACTCTTTTTCAATTAATTTAAACTAGTATTAATATTAGAGGAATACATTCGGACGATAGATTAAAAAACTATAACAAAAACAAATCAAATAAACGATTAGCTTGACACGTAAGTACATTTTAATAATTTTTTTTGATAAAAATGGAAAAATTAAAATTTTCATCACGTAAAACTTTCAATTTTGGAGTCATTTAAGACCTAAATGAAAAAAAATTATTTGATCATTTTAAAAATCGAGATATGCTCTTTCCAGACTGAAAAATATTTACTTCCTTGGTAAGTATTTTGCAAGACGCTTGTTCTACACATATTTAAGCAAGTTGATGTAAAATGTTACATCAGTGAAATAATCAACTAAAAATATAAACCAATTCGTCATTGAAATATGAATATGCCATCTACAGAATAAATGCTTAAAAGCAGATAGAAAAAAACCTGCTAACTCAAAAAAAAGTTGCCAATTAAAATTTATTGCTGGGTTGAAGAAAATTTTTTTATCAGTATATTCGGGTAATGACGGTTACTTCAATATTCTCCCGATTATATCATCAATTTAGAAATTATGCTTGATAAAAATCAAATGACTCGAGTATTCATGATTCATAAGTTTTTTATCATTATTTATGAAAATAAAAAAATCAATTTTCGTTTTATATTGACTGTAAATACGAGGCATAGAATTTTTGTTTGTAATACGTGAAAAAATACACTACTCAGTTTTTAAGACATGCGCATTACAGGCGGTGTTCAGAGTACGATCAGTCGTTGAACGGTCACTTTATAGCAACACTTTTGTTATCTTTGATTAGACTTGAAATTTTGGTATTAAAAAATGGTCAAGCAAAATAATCGATTAACAACAATGTAGGAATGAATTGAGGTGCATTTTGGTGTTATAAGAATTATGTAATCGTTTTGTTTAAAAAATGTTCGTGAGAAAATTCTGTCACTGAGTTTCATCGTAAATTTACTGTTCACTTGTTCATGGCGTATTGTGGAAGGTTCGTATTAAAGAATGAATCATTTTCACTGTTATGAGTACTTTCTTTTATCATTTTTTGCAATATCATTCTAAATTATCAATCATTTATTAATCGTTAGTTCTTCATCGTATGACTGTTTTTGGCTGATAATGCCGACACGTTATTGATTATTACTTATTACTTCTGCGTAGACAGAACTTCAGATTCTTTATATGAGATTGTATAAATTTATGCAAAATTTACCTTTACGGATACTGTCATTGACTCAGAGTGCTGAAATCGAAAATTTCAAAAAGTTTTTTCTACACATCAATAATGTCCTTATCGATTCAGAGTATGTATATATACTCTAAGAGTTTAAAATATTTGAACACATATTTCACTTTCTAACGTTAAATAAAATGTTTAGAATAAATATTAAATCATTGAAACATAAATTCGAACGTTAGAACACCTAATATAATAGAAAAAACATGTTTTTGATTATTAGATTAAATAAGGCAGATCTAGAACACATTTCAACATTAGAACAATAAAATGAATTTGGTGACATATACTCGATTATTAAAGGATAACTGAGATCGTTAAAACGCATTCTGTATTATTAGATGATGCATCAATTCATTAAAATCTGTATTCAACTATGGAAAAATAAATAAGTTCGTTAGAACCTATATTTCATCATTAGATCATAGGTAAGAACGTTGATACACATGTTAAAACATTATTCTATTGCTTCTGTGATAACATGATAGATTTATGACAAAATTAGTAAAAATCTTAGTTAATTCTTTGTAAAATTACTAGTTATTATTTGCACAATTTCAATTATTAAATTATCGCTGACTTCTGTATAAGATAATTTGGAAAAAAATTTTAAATTACTCCTGTAATGTCTAATTTGATTCATAAAATTACAAATCAAATTGTACTTATCAAATTAAAAAATTACTGTATTCATGAATAATTGCAAAAATAAAATTATTCAACATTGTCATTGATAATTTTTTCGTAGATTATCCATTTCAGGAGGAACATATTATTTTGCTCTATATGATATTACCCAAAAAAATATTAATGCCGGACACAGATTTTACTATGTGACATCTTGAGTTATCTATGAGCACATTCATACTTGTAGATTTATTTTCGTCTCATACTAACCATTTTAATGATTTTTGAAAGTAATATTAAACTTGTCGCTACTTTAACTTTTTTTATAAATACAAAGTTAATTTCGTGATAATCACTATAGCAACGGTTACGATAACAGCTATTACCATAACGACTGGCACTATGATAACTTTTACGATAGCTACAGGTGGGTATCAGCGAATATTGATATATTATTGATATATATTGATTGGTGAAAAAAATATTTTGTATGTGATCTAGTCAAAATCGATTCTTAGTGAGTATCTATGTTAGAAAAAGTATGACCATGTCGAATTTCAAGTCAATGGGACGTGTAATTTTCGAGATCTTGTGATAAGTAAGTGAGTGAGTAGTAAACTACTTATCTACCTATATCTATTAAATATACTTTAACTTTTCCAACGGGAAATTTTTTTCATTGCTAAAATTAAGTAACAAACCATAAAAAATGTATGAGAAAATACTCCTTTCGTTTACAACAATGAAATTCGGAAATTCGTTTGTTATCTGTCAATCTATTACTGTGCAATGTAATTATGCACAATACGCGTACGAAGTTGCAGAAATCAGTTGTATAGTATAATAGCAGGCTAGTAGTATAGATATATTATGTTTCCCTTAATATCTATTAGCTCTCGCGTTTTTGAGTAAAATTATTTTAATTTTTGGAAAAAACATTGATCTACTCTCTTCGCTAAAAACGTAGGTATCATAAACTTTAATTGGTGCGCTGTCTGGTACAACCTGCGGCTGTATCGTTTAAAAAAAATCATCAAAGTACCAAGTAGCAAAAGTTTGGTTACGTCAAGGTCAAACATAGGAAAAGCTTAGTGGCCTCCGTCACGGAGATAAAAAAGTCGCCACCGGACTCCAGAAAATCAGACTATAGGAACGATATGTATGTTTATTTTGTGACGTTATTTTTTGATAACGTCCCATTGATAGCTCTAAAATTATTTTATGGGATATTTGAGGCTGATAATAGCCAATTTAGTACGTTCAAATGATGAAGTATAAAGCAAACGTATTTCTTTAAAGCTCACTTTTGCAATTATATTGGCTTTTACAGTTGATTGTACATATTTTCAAATGTTTCCTTCATTATAATTGTTTCCCTTACGCCAAAATATTCAATCATTCTGTTATTTAAGAATCGTTATTTATTATTTGTTAGTTTATTTATTATTATTAATGCCAACCAAGGCTGAGAGATGCATTCGTTTGTTACGATTAGCTATTAAAGTCTCAATAACTCAGGAAGAAGTAGAGTTAAGAGAAACAAGTAAATTGGTCGAAAATATAGACTACTGAGAAGAGAATTGGGAGACCGTAGTGGAATAGTCGACCAAAAACAACGTGTCACCCTACAGTTTTCCCATGCTGGGAGACGTCCTAGCCCGGAGGGTTGTAGTCACGAGGCTGTTGCCAGTAAAATGGGACTCCAGGAAAAAGATGAAAGTGTTGTAGAGGTCTTAGGATTTTTGAGTTTAGACATCAAGTTCAGTATTAGGATTAAGTTTTGGTATAGATTAGTTTCAAGTGAATCCTCCATATAAAAATCTGCGAGAAGTCACGTGAAGATAGCCAATAATAAGGAACATGATTTGACAAATTAAAGACATTTTTGAGTGGAAGAAGGAGAAAATTGAAAGAATGAAGAAATTTGAGGTTAAGCATTTTTAGCATGCATTTTTAAGGAGAGCCGATTGATGATAGAAGTCAAGTGTTAACATCTTGGTGAGAGAAAAAAACTAAGATGGTAGTAAGAAAAATTAAGATCAGGAAGGATCTTCAGTTCAAGGAAAAGGAAGTCCAGAACTACTGGGACTAGTTGTAACAAAAGCTAAACTATCAAAAGCTCTCTGCAGAAGTTGTAAGTTATTGAGAATTAATTCGTAATTGGTTAAAAGGTAAATTTGTAGTTAATTGTAAATATTTTATTATATAAAGGCAAATTCGTGAGGCTTGGTTTGCTCCCGTACTTGTTAATTTAAGGTAATTGTAAATTCGGTTAAAGAAAATTATGATTTAGTTTAGTGAATTTGGTTTAAAGATTTGTTTCGTGTTAAAATTTAAGATATTGCGTTATTGGGTGTAGGATTTTGACCTATGATTTATTGAGGAATGTGTGTTAAAAAGATACTCTTTAATTAGTTTATGGAAAATTTATTTGAGCTTTGAAACTGTACCACGTTAGAGTTATTGTTTATTTTGATGATTGTAATGGCGTTAATTGATTAGTGGATTGAATTATCTAGTATGATGTTTTGAGTTTTAGAAATTGTTAAAAAAGTGTAATTGATAAATTTATTAAAATAAATTCGAGAATTAGGATGTGATGGACTTGTTTATTAATTTATTTATCGTAGTTTGTGAACCTTTATCTCATGCTGTTAGTTAGTTTATTTGAGTTGTCTTTGGTTCGTTTATTTAATTTTATTTTGTTGGACGGAATCGACTCCTCTCCACAACTTACACAACTGAGGGCCAAGACATGCCCTGTTCAGGAGGATCCTGATTTTTGTAGAACCATTTTAGTTAAGTTTGAGAACTAGCTTTATGTATTGCGTTTTTTGAGATATTTTGTGGATTTTGAGTGAGTTATTAAGTTCTCGAAATATTGAATTTGAATTCAAGTAGTATTATTTTCGAGTTAAATTCGTTCTCATTGGCTGTAAAAGATGTAAACGCTTTGGTAAGATTAAATTTCTGCCTCTTAACAACTAGTTAGTTGGTATGAACAGGAAAAGGTCCCGAGTAGAATTTATTCTTACGAAAGAGTTCGTACCCAATTCGGATTTCCCAAATTGAAGGTAGGCGTAAACTAAGAAAACCACATTAGGCTAACATTGGAAATTTAACGCCTGTCCCTATTGGGACCAAGTAAAGAAAGCCTAATTGAGGCAAGTTAAATATAAAAACTAAATTATTTGATGATCCAATTTTTTAGAATTTTATGTTGTCAAAAAACTTAATCATTAAACATATTTCAAAATCATACACTGAAATTTGTTCCTTGGGGAATTCGGACCTACGATCGCTAGCATGCACGCATCTTAGACCGGTGTTTTCACCCGTTCGGCTATTTATTCAATCAAAAAATTATTACTATTGTACTAACAAAAACAGATTGATATGTATACCATATATGTAACACCATAGAACGTAAAAAATTGATTTTCGTATAAAATTAGTTCTAAAAAAAAACATCATCGATCGAATGAGTAACTAAAAGACATTTAATAGAATTAATACTCTGAGGACATGTCCCTATATAACACGTTACAATAAATGTCCTCATAATATACGAGAGAATTTTGCACAGTTTATCTATGCAGCGTATACTTTGAGAACGGAAAAATAATACAAAATCGTGATATTGAGAACATATTCCGTTACATACTGTACAGCTAAGGTACATTAATTTGGTATACGGTTCCGATGATATGATCATTCTGAAATATAGGCATCTATTTTTTTTTAATAGCAGATTGAAATAAACATATTGCTATAATATTATTATAGCATTGGTAAGACTCTAAGCAAGCATCAAACTCGCCAAGTCTTATGGAATTTTTTTTGAATTAATTAATTTTTTTAAATTAAGTAAAAATTAATTGTAAAAAAAAATTCATCGTGAATATTTATCTACAAAATTGCTTTTTAAATTATTCGTAGAAAATTCGAACAAAAATTTTTACACAATTCATGAAAATTCATAAAAATAATGACTCAATTAAACTTCAAAGCTCTAATTGATAGCATAGACATCTTTTTAAATGATTATAAACAAATCAATGTTGTTTATCTTTATTCCAGGCAAAAGAAAGCCTGCTAAAATATTTAAATACGTTGCATGGACT